TGCGTCTCTGATAGAAAGACTCAGACAGATAATGGCAAGGTGAAAGGGAAAGAGGCAGAAAGACTGTCAGACAGATTGACAGACAAAAGACGGGTGGAATAGCTCGTCACTTCCCTTTTAAAAATGCATGTTACAGCATAGTGGATACGGTTACGCAGAATGTATCATTTGGCAAATCCTAATGTCAAACATCGCATTACATGACAGAGCAGGCATTGGTACCATGTTGACCCAGCAGAAATCGAACACACAAGTGTATAATACGAAGTCTGAAAATAGTTTCAACATGTGTGTACAGTAAACAAGAAAATCCAAATGCATGAAATTTTGAATTTAGGAAGCACGGTATAGCATGTGCATGTGCACATATACAGTATTTTGTGTACATTTTTGTTTATTTATATGTATTTACACACCAAATCATAATTTTAGATTCGTGTTTCACCAGTGTGCAGCAGTGTCAGGGGGAATCTCATCATCGTCAAATCCAAAACACATCTAGTTTTCCATATGGAAAGTAATTTTTGATGTGAAAAAGACTTCTGGGCATAAACTTGGAAGTTGGTTGTCACTTTGGGATTTAGTGATCTTCCAGTCGATGCTGTTTAATGTCCCCCAGCCTGCCCCCCACCCACCCCACCTCTGATGATTCACCCTGCTGTGTGTATGCCTGCCTGGCGGTCTGTCTCTCTCAGCTTGTCGTGCTGCTCCCAGGGCCCCAGATTGAATAACTAATGATTAATATCAACACAGCCACTGACACGGCGACTGATTTACCACAGCCATTGATCCGGACCTTGAGATGTCACAAAAAAAGGCACAGATTTAACCACAGGCAAGGTTTTGTGAGACTAAATTATCTGAGCTTGACAAGCAGAATTCTGTGTGCATTGGTAAAAACGATGCCCAAGACAGAACTTTTCTTTCCCTGTTCTAAGCATTAGAAATCAAATCCTTTATTTGACCAGGTGTGCAATGAAAAATAAAGCCTAAGTCCTGGATTGTGTATGTACTCACACCTGATTGCTGCCCAGTATGAATATAATGTCAATTTGTTGGCCGATGAGCAGCTTCATTTGCTGCTGGGGATTAACTGCTTTTCTCCAGGGTGTTTGCAAAGCAGTTGCTGAGCAAAGATAGAGCACTTTACTCATACTTCCCTCTGCCAGATTTTCTAAATACAGAAATGTGAAGCAGAGACTTTTTGGATACAAGTTAGCTTTTCTGAACATGAGGATAATGCCACACTGAGGTAACACATCACTGTTACTAAAAGATCTATCAAACTTGGGACTGAGAGTTGATTTGTGGTAAAATTTAAAATTGGATTTCCAAATGAATATATGACAGCACTTGGCAAGCTTGGTTCAATCCAGCTATACGATTAGAGAGCAAGCTGCTACAATATAAAATTATGATGGAAGCTTAATGTTTGTGACTACACATCCAATTGTTGAGAGCAAATTATTGCTCACTTTTCATCTCTGCAGATATAATTGACTCTCTCTTGTCCTTCCCTTTTCTTCCTTCTGCCTGTCTTAGCTTATCAAATATTGTCTGCACTGTTGTATTAAGTAGAAAATGATGAGTCAATAGCTGCATATCTCCAACATGTGTCTAGGCATAAACCCTTCTGTCAGTCCAAGCTGTCCATGACAATTACATTAAGATGTGATTACACAACAGGACACAAAATTATTGTATGGATGAAAATGTAGAGACAACTTTGCGATTGAGGTGAACTCTTGTAGTTCTCCCTAAAGGTTCTTCCAGAGTTGACCTAAATCACAAAGATCCGTCCCCTGTACAGTAGCTATTTTAGGAGATCAGACTCAGCTCATCAGGCTAACCTCCTCATTATCAGACTTTTATAAGGCTGCACTTTGTCAGGAGTCAGATATCCCTAAGTTATTATTAATTATCAGCAACAGCTGTACTCATGATAATGTCGCCTAACACTGTTATGCTAACACGGTGACGCTAGCATTACATGCAAAAAGGCTACAGTTGCTAAAGTCACGCTACCCCAAACTGGAACAACAGACCATCAGAGGGGCCAACATCTCCCTTACAAAAGTCACGCCACAAGTTAGGGATAAAAATAAAAATAATAAGGAACTTTACATTGAAAACAGTTCACATAGTGCTGCTACATAAAGTTTCTATGGAGAACAGTTTACATGTTCAGCAACAGACACACTGGCATCGTTAGAAGTCGTGTTTCTGGCCACCTAATTTCAAAAACCACTCTACTTGTAGCTCTGTTTTGGCCTCCACCAGTTGCTGACAGAAGTATCTGGCTCTTCAGCTGCCGGATGCTCCACTATTATCACCAGTAGTTTTTGTGGTGTCTGCTGTTTTGTGCTGGAGAGGTAAGGTGGAGCTTTGTCACTGAAAACACTTTCCTCCTGTGTCTGAAAACAAGGTCATTGAGAGCAGGGAAAAGAAAGTATTAAAAGAGTATAATAAGATCATGCACTATTGATTTCCAAAGTAAAAGCTTTCACCACATCTGATAAATGACAATTGGTCGTGTATTTTCTTCGAGAGCTTGCTCGCAGCACGCACCATCTCTCACATGAGCATTTCTACAATGAAACATCAGTCAGGCAGTTAGTCAGTCTGTAGTGGTCCAGACGTTTATTGAACACTTTGTTTGACTTGGACAGTTAATTTCATGAGCGTTGTGATTTATTACCGAGTTTGTTTGAGTTACAATTTCTAGCAGGCTCAAACAATATATTTTAAGCTGCGAGAAAATTCCTTATACCTACAATGTAATGAAGTTGACGCTATTGTCTAAGTCAAACAGTGTACAGTGTGTATGAAAGGTCATATACTTTCTTTTTTTCAACTGAACACACTGTGAAAAGTGAGACTCCTCTTGATGGTAAACTAAGTGTGAGGGTAGGATGGTGTGTCAAGTTGCAGGATGAAACGCTGATACAGGAAGGATAATTTAAAAAGGTTTCCTATCATCTCACACATGCTCCTATCTTCCTCAACTGTAGCAATCGTACACATGACACACACACACACACACACACACACACACACACACACACACTTAAACATAACAGATTCCTAAAAGAGTCCGCAGAGAGGAGAGAAAGTGCCTAAAAAGAAGTTAAATGACGTTATGAAGACAGCCCAATTAAATTATGAAAGATATTCTTAACTAAGTCTGAAACCCAATGATCTGTAATGGGAGTCCTGTGGCTTATAAAAGCATTTCCCTGCAATAATCAGTCCCTCTCATTTTTCCTCTCTCTCTTTTTTAACCACTCTCTCGCTCTCACTCTGCATCACTCACTCACACACATGTAACACACACATATACAGAGGGATAGAGATGCCAGCAGTCGCACTCAGATCTCTGCATGCAGTCATCAGCTAAACTACGGCAGCATGTGAGAGTTCCCCGGTACTGTGTTTGAAATGCAATGGCCAGCCAGCTACATATTCAGTTTGAAATTTATCAGGAAATGCCACATTTATCCATTACACCAACTCAGTCTGGATCTGCTCATGCACCCTTACATCTCCGGTACAGGCTGTACTTGTTCCCTCTGTAACAAACCACATTACAGGTTTAAAAGAGGAAAGAAAAATGTGTCAACGTACTGAAAACTCACAGCTGTGATGGTGCAGAAAATGCATCTGTACCTGTTTCCCTGTACTTCTTAATTTGTCATAGTGCAGCGGTACAAATTCATTTTGTCTCTGCAAGATTTGCCTTTGATTTGCTTTGATGAAGTTGTTTAGTATAAATAGTTTGTAAATGGATTATTATTCTTAATCATAGCATAATTATTTGCTTTATTTTGGGAGCTCCTTTGAATGAGATGAGATGAGGGGTTTATCCTAAATCTATTTGTAATCAAACCACTTTGGTGAATTGGGGAACACTATGAAAGACAAAGCCTTTTAGAGTCATGAATGAATGTTCATTTCTTAGTCTGTTCTCTTTATAATACACACACACTCACACACACAGACACACACACACACACACACACACTCGCAGTGCACAAGTGCTTTCACGCCAGCATGAACAGCCCTGACACAAGCCATGTTCTCTGGATCATTAGCCTCATGTATGCTGTAGATCTCACGGTGCACTGAGCCAGGGTCAAGTCAGCCACTCAGTCTCAGTGTGTGTGTGTGTGTGTTTGTATGAATGTGTATGTGTGTGTGTATGTGTGTGTGCATGCAGTTGTCCTTCAGTCTGTCTTCTTGTTTATGTCTACGTTTTCCATCTTTCTGTCCATGCAGCTGACCTGCAGATGAAAGCAAACTTCTTACGCTTCATCTCCCTTTGATGCTTCTACAGTATCTGTTATCACAGAACGCTCTGTTTGTGTGTCTCTCTGTGTTTGTGAGTGTGTGTGTGTTTGTGTATATAATATATACGTGTGTGTTGTGTCAGCATCGGTGCACAGCACACACAATGTGCATAGCAACAGAAAATGTCGATCCCTGTGTATTTTCTGCTTGCTCCATAAGTTCCTTAATACAGCATCAATGGATTCAGCGTTTAATCTCCAGCTCTCAGTCCCCGCTCTCCTGCGCTCTTTCACCTTCGCATACACAGACACAAACACACACACACTTACACCCCTCACACCTATCTCTCACTCTCTGTCTATTAAGCTCTCAATAGGGTGACAGCAGAATATTGCCATTCTGTTATAGTATTTGATCAAGAACAGCTACAAGGCTGAAATGGGTGGTGTGTGGATGAGTGTGACCATAGATGTGGGAATATGTTTGTGTGTGTGTGCGTGAGGGAGAGAGAGACAGAGAGAGTGAGAGATTAGTAAGATTAGCAAGACGTCTTTATAGTCTGTGTGCTACTGTGGTGCCATCTTCTGGCCGGGGAGCTCAACAGCCTTGACTTAATTATACGGCAGGCAAGAAAAGTGACTGAGACTAAACACATTTGCATTCAGAACACTCAAACAGCGCCTTCAAAGAATGCGACAAACGAGAAAAGAAACTCAAAGATTAAAAAAACATTTATTATAGTGACAGACATCATAAAACTTTTCAAATAATTGCTGAAACTAGGTTTAACATTTAACATACTGGGTAAGATGACATGACATTTATAGTGAATCTACATTATGCAGAGAACAAAAGACAGTACTGTACAACCTGGAGAGGATAGCAGCTTGCAGCATCTTTCAGTGCACACACACACACACACACACACGCACACACACGCCTCAATTTTCTCACTTTTACACAAACATAATGTAGTTATAATATAAAGTGATCTCAATCATTTACACGGGTAAAAGAGGCGTGTTAATTTGTTTCAAAGGCCTCTCAGTCGTCTCAGACAGACAATGCAGTTACAAAGACCATCCCTTCCTTTCTACGACAAAGTTTGAAGTGACAGACTTTGTGACGCTAATATCCAGAGTGGATTGGTGTTGGAGGACTGCCAAGTCCTGAGTGTGGGGAGAGGATAATTCATTCAGCTCTGGCTCAAACATGCACGAGCTCATGCACGCGCACGCACACACGCACACACACACACACACACACGCATGCACTCTCCTTCTGCGGTTGTCTTTTTGCATACAGACACTGCTGCAGAAAAAATGTACAAAAACAGATGTACACACACACACACACCCATGATGAATTAACACATAGGTTTAGAGAAATATGAGATTTTGTATAGAAAGAGCTTGTGTGTACACATGCATGTTACATTTTCTGCTTTTTTTCAAATTCTATAAAGGCTGACCAGCCTTACATTCCTTTTATCTACACAGGATGCAAAGAGCACCCTTCTATATACAGTCAGTGGAATTGTGATAACATTACAATACTGACAATGGATTTTATTTTGGTGTTACCATACAGCTGACATCAGTATGAGACAAGAAACATGACTGAAAGCTGAAATGTAGATAACACACAGTACATCATTTATCTGCCTAACACGACATTCATTTTCCCTTGTCATAGATCTATAAGACCCAAATCACCTTTAGAGTGTCACAAATACACTCATTAAAATACTATGTACAGTAAGGGCCACTTTATTTAAGCCCCTCAGGATGCATGGAGCTTGGTAAGAGTGCCCTTAACATTGCTCTACCACTGGATAGTTTTCTAAGTGGCCCATTGATGTACTCTAAAGAGGGAGCTGCTGAACCACTGCTCTTTGGTGTTTTAAAACATTCAAGTAACGCCAGGAATCAAGAGTATTCACGTGCTTGCATACCACTCTGGTGGATTTGCTACCAAGAGAAAACCATGAAAAATGGATGAAAACCAAATATTTGTTTGCCTGGTTTGCTTCGAACTCAGTCGAAGACAGATTTCTTTTACTATTAGCTGCTTCAGCAGTTAATTTCCTATTTCTAAGATATGAACAGTATTACCATCCATTCATCTATCCTCAGACCAGTCTCCTATTGATCCGTGGGCTATGTAAGTATGGACAACATAGAAACCAGGTGTCCTGAGTGCACCGCGGGATTTACAGAAGTAGAGGCTCTAGGCTTGATTTTGTCCCCTGGTTCTGGTTTATTCTCTGTCTCTGTCTGGCTAAACATTCTCAGGGTTGGGGTAATATTTGAAGACCTTGTAGATCCACTGCGTGTAAAAGGGCACGTTGATGAAGATGCCAGGCTGGTTGGCCCGAGCACAGCCTCTGCCATGGACGCTCACTCCAACAATAACCTTTATCTCACCATCCTGGCACACAAGAGGGCCGCCATAATCCCTCTGCAATAGAAGAAATCGATAGCACATTTTTCTGCGTCAGTGGTTAAGAAATGGCGGTCGTCACTGTTTACATATTTGACAGGGTTAAATGAAAGCAAAATGTATTTCTACGCTCTCATTGACAGACACTACCACCAGTATTTCTGAATATGGACAGATCTTTTCCAAGCTAGAAACCACAAAACCAAGGCTTTAATCGCTGATGAAATTTAGTGCAACAGTCTCCAGCTGCTCTATTTACAACAGACTGAATACTAAGCCTACAGATTGAAAGAACATTTGTTTGAGATTTAGATCAAACTGAGCTTTCAAAGCGCCATGTAGAACCAAGGCGCTAATATCCTCGTAAATTCACACTGGGAACAATTACTTTATCCAAAGGTCCAAAGGCTTGTTCTTGTTTACTAACAGGGACTGAATACACCATATGAATTCTAGAGTGGATTTTTTCTCGTCACTGAAACAGTTCTTCGGTAAAACACCTCGCTAGGAAAATAATATGCACAAGTAACAGTTTACCTCACACACTCCCTCGTTCCTCTTGCCCCCCGCACAGATCTTGGTGTTGGTGATGTGGAAGTTCCCTCTGTGCATCTCTCTACACCTCTCATTGCTGACAATGGGCAGGTCAATGGCCTTTAGCATGTCGTCATGGCCAGTGCCTGAAAGAGTTAAAAGTTGCACTTAATTGCTTCTGTTCTGTTGTAGCATATGCAATACAAATGCTGCCTATGTACTGTAGAACTCCTGTAAAATAACATACATATAATATAGTGATATATCATATTGACCATATACTTGTTTTCAAATGCATGGAGGCAATTCTGAATAATTTATACAGAATTCATGGCACATTTGAACTTTTATTAAAAATATCAGTTGTTCGTGAACCCATCTGTACATCAGGCCGCCAAACAAGCAGTACTCATCCAAGGTTTAGAGACATATGGCCAAAGATATACAGTAACCAACTATTTAAGAGAAGGCAGTGTTACAATATTCCGTTGCTCCTCCACCTTATACCATTTCAAAATAAAAAAGGATATAGAAAATAAATCCGGATCGCTGCAGGAAAAATGCATTATAAATGCAATATATTGCAAACCTGGGAGACATGCAGCATATGTATGTATACAACAGCGGTAGTGAATGTAGAATATATAATATCAGTACCTTTGGTCTCGCCCCACCCGTACATTTTACATATCGTTCCTTCTGGGATGGAGCACCCAGCCACAGGCAGCTGAATCGTATGGACATTGTCTGCAGGAAGGGCAGGCCTGGATACATTTAATGAACACAGAAAATACGAAGCATGATCAACATCACGCACACACATACATACACACACAAAAATATATCAATATATCTTTGAGATCATTTTTCCAGGCACTCACTTGGACAGCCTTATAAGAGCTAAACTGGAGCCCTCAGGGCCACATATCACATGAGCTATTCTGACTTCCTGTCTCTTGGACCAGTCAGGAGCACCATCTCGAATATCAGAGACTCCCAGCCACACCCGATACTCACTGAGGTCTGGAACACTGGAGAGGCAGAAGACAGAGTTAATACTTCGTAAAATATTCCACATTTATTACTCTCCGCTGAGCAGCTTGCTCAGACTGATCAGTGCACACAGTAGCAAATGAAAAGAGTCAGTTATGCTTGAATATAGAGAGACACATATAGACTGAACAAATAAATCCTGCGATGAATACACAGAGGAATACACCGACAGTTCAAGGTTCAGATGAAAGGAGAGAATTCACATATACAGACAGCGAGCGTTACCATGAGGAGAAGCACTGTCTGTCGGTGAGTACCCACTGCTCTCGTATTAGTGAACCCCCACACCAGTGCACCGACCTGGAAAGAGCACAAAATACAAATGGCACATAAAGGCTTCATCTAACACATCAGCAGCTGTACTTTGACTAATGCTGTCATTTTAAACAAGTGTGCGTGAGATTTCAAGCTTTACAGAGGTAGTTGTGCGTATATTCCTTGCGTATAGTGTGTATAATGTTGTATAGCGTTTACTGTGTAGACAGCCATGCTAACTATCAGATAAGCGTAGTTGAGAATTCTGAAGAAGAAAGAGTTTTATATATTTCTATCTAAACTTGATATTGTGAACGTCAGCTTTGAAGGACTCTAACCCTTACAAGTGAGGTGAGTTCTGTTTCTCTGTGAAGCTGCTGGTGGCTCATAAATGTATGGCATCAAGGCTGCTAAACCCGTAACAAAAAAAAAAAAAAAAAATCCCTGTTCAAATGTTGGCATGCATGTGGTTGCTGAGCATAGCGGGAAGGCCACTGAAACAGCATTAGAGAGCTCCAAAAACAAAAAGAAAGAACAGCTCCACTACATTTTTTATGAATTCAAGGGCTGTCTGGGCAGGATGGCCTCCTGTTCTTCTTCAGTGGTGGAAGAAGATGTGTAGAATATTAAATGCACCGCTGTACCCTTTCTGTATGCTGACCATCCAGCTACCCTCTGATATGTTCACTGGACCTCCTCCCACGATCCTGGTTCTCTTATGGATAAAACACCCCACAGAGGACAGCTCACCTGGAAGCAGAAACACGCAGGCAGATCATTTAATACCTCATGTCATGAAATATATATTTAATTCAAGACATAAATACGCATTAACAAACATACTGTCGTTAATGGTGAAATGTTGTTTACACAGTTTCAATACAAGAGGCACTTGAGCTGCCTAATGATCCACCATAATCATCATTATATTTGAAACATAAAGAGTTATGCTGATGAGGCCATTAGTTAATGTAATTATTGGATGTGTTCACATAACACATGAGTGTAATTTAAACTCTGTATGTCAAGAGACTTAGGTTCATCCTCCGCTCTCGAGTTGTATTATGTAGAGATGAATGAGTCACACACAGACCAACTCATACGCACACACCTCTCCCACTATCTTACACACGTACACAGAAACAGATGCTACCGCGACAACATAATGTCCTGCATCATGCACCATAATAGCTGCACATAAAAAGGACTCCATCAGGTTCTGGAAACATCACCACTTGCCTTGGAGGCTATCACACACAGATCAGCAGCTGAGCCACTTCGCACACAGAGACAGACAGACAGAGAGAGACAGACGAGCTGACAGAGACACTCACCCAGTGGAATGGTGTTCTGTGAAGCATCACCTGCAGAGAGGAGAGGAGACAAACGAGTATTAACCGATACAAGATAAGAGGCAACCTCACACAGGGGTGTAAATTTCACTGTGACAGTACAGCCACAGCCGCCAGGGCCCTTGTATTTGTCTCTCCTGTCACGGTCTCTTTTTGTTTCCAGAATCTAGAGTGCTTTCACTGAATGTAACAAGCCTCATGTGGCTGCAAGTTGCAGCAATTTAATGTTTATGCTGACCATTTCCAAATACAAGATAAACAGGTTTTGATTTTTCAGTGTTCTTTTCCCATAGTTCCAGGCCAACAAATGATTTGTGATGTAAAGTATAAGTAAAAATGTGTGTGTGTGTCTGTGTGTGTGTGTGTGTGTGTGTGTGTGTGTGTGTGTATGTGTGTGTGTGTGTGTATAAAGTAGATTTTTATTAGCCAGAAGCACAGTAGATACCTGCATAGTTTTCATATAAACACTAACATATAAAAAAAAGACACAGTCATGATGCCTCTTGGGTCCATGTGGGAATCGTTAGAAAGGACCCTCCTCTGTCTTCCTGATGAGTTGTGAATCTCCTCTGACACACACTGACCCGTGAGTGTAGACAGATCTACACGCTGCAAATAAAGTGCGTGTGTGTGTAAGTGAGACGGAAAACCAGACGGAGTGCGCACAAATCTACTCTACGCTCTATCTTAGAACCAGAGGTATAGCAAACTTTGAATTTTACATACTCTCACAGATTGTTTTCCTCCTAATGGTGTGTCTTTCTGTGTGATTGTGTGTGTCGGTGATGCGCTCACATGGTTTTACAGTGCAGTAGTCCCAGGGTATGGCAGAGTTGTTGGTGTAACACCAGGGACCATGTTTGTCTTTGTCAGGATTTCTGCAGTAGTTTCGCTCCAGGCCAGTCATCAGCATGCCCCTCTCGCCACTGGACAAACACAAAAGATCCAATAACTAATCTTTCATCAACATTCAGTAAGCCATGAAGACAATTTTCAAAACAAACAGAATTTCTTTCCCCCCCCGTTAAGCAGATAAGTCAGCTGCTGATGAAAGTAAAAAAGGATTTGCCGGTGATTTATAACTATTAGTAAAAGCTGAACAAATTTAGCCAGAAAGGATCTGGAAAGTCAAACTACACAGCTGTGTAGGCTCTCTCCCTCCGGACAAGATAAGGAGGTGATCTGCAAAGGAATTACTCACTGAGACAGCATACACCCACCTACACAAACATACCTAATGCATGCTCATGCAAACATATCCCACACTTGAGGGTATTTTCATGTGAATTTTAAAACCACAAACAAAATTCTTCAATTCCTCAACTGATAAAGTGGGAAATTGTGAAAAGAAAAGGGAGACCACAAGAGGTCAGGATTATGGGTACCAAATGAAAGCAATCCAGACTTTCAAATCTGTGTTTGTCTGTGTTGTATTTCTAGCAGTTAGCATAACTGCCGTCTCTCACTCTGACTACCTAACCCTGACTTTTTGACTCTGGGCAGGAGCCAAGCGGTAGAGCTGATTGGCTTTGAGGTGTTCCTACATAGGAGGGGTTTGGGGTCAAAGGTGAGGAGTGAAGTGTATATCCCCCAGCCAAGTTATCACTGGGAGTCATTCCTGCTGAGTTAGGTCATCTTCAGGGATACACTTCTCTAGCCACTGGGAGATGCTGGAGAAGCTAGTCACGGCACCCGCAGGAGCTGTTTTCTCCTCTGAGAATAAAGAGGCCTGACTTGATCCGCTAACAACAATAAGACTTAACTAGAGGTCAATATTCGGGCACCTCCCCGCACTAACCAGCACGTATCAGGTTCGCACACATGGTTCCTGAAAACACAAAGGCATTCTCCAGCACACTGTCATGGACAAGCCTGTATCACATAGAGCTAATTTCTCAAGCTCTTTTCTCCTGTTGAAACCCATAAAATTTGCATGTTTTCTGCTCATTATCAGCAGTTTCCTTTGATCCCACTGAGCTCTTAAAAAAAAAAAACCTCTACACTTTGATAGACTCTTGTGGGTTACATACGTACAAGAGCTGTGTGACATCTTGATCTCTATTTTTAGGGCAGACACTCTTGTCTGCAGTTTATTGATGGTGCACGTCTGTTTTGCACATCATGGTTTGGGTTTGGGAAAGTTATTAGGTGACAAAGTAACACGGATCCAACGGGCCGACCTGTTGCTGTGGTCTGTCCAGGGAGCACAGGGCAGGTTTGATCTAGTCCTTGACTGTTCTCCTTGGTAATTCTCTCCAAAGCTTTCATAGCAGTCTGGATTTGGACAAAAAAAGAAGAAAGAAGTAAAAGAAATAAAATTAGAAAGACATTCTGATCACATACTCCATGTCTGTACAAACAAACAACAGCTTTGAACAAAACCTGCATGAGCACAATCGTCTTTGTGCATTATTTGCCACACAGTATTGTTTTACTACTAAAAAAAAAGTAGCTATTATGGTTGTCATTGGATCTAGAGCTGGGAACACAAAAAAGCCATGCACAATGATATCTTAGAAAAACATGGGTCATAAATAAGGTTTTGAAGCTCTCTGTCACCCTGCATCTCATTTCTATATGGGAACGTATTCAACCCTCTAGGGCAGACCACAACACAACCTCAGAGAGGGTTTCTAATCCCAAAGCAAGGCCGCACAATCTCAAAGAAATACCCCTCAGATCCCTTGGGAAATTTGAATTTGTGTGCTCAGCCATAGATCTACATCTTTTACTTCCAAATCACTTGCTACCCCAGAAAGAATCCCATCCAGCACTAATCCTTCCACTCCATCTTTCACTGTCCAGTGAGACCTGACGATCCTGAGCTGCTGTCAGAAATCGTTTATGTGATGCGCGGTGGTCAGTCCTTCCCACAGTCCTATAGGGCTACAGTTTTCCACAGGGACGGAGTGAACGTGGTTACAAAATGATAAGTGTGGTTACAGGGTCTCATGTGAACTCCACGGTCCACAAAATATGAAAATGCCAAATATTTCTCTGCTTCCGATGTGGGGGAAATCAGCTTTTCCCTTGCTGTTTTGAGTGTTAGCTAAAGCTGTTGAGTCTCTCACCGCTGACAGGCTTGTTCTGGGTGCCACACTGAGGGATGTTGGTGCAGAACATTGTGCGGACTCTTGGGTCCGTAGTGAAGCACCAGGGGAATTCTTGGCCATCTGGATTTCGACAGTAGTTTTCTCTTAGGTCCCTGGAAAACAGAGATAAAGTTCTCTAGTCTGCTTGAATATAAGTGCATGCAGGTGGGTGAGTGAGTGGATGGTTGTCTTATGCGAGTGTCTGACTCACTTGCAGAGGTAGGCTTGAGGTAAGAATGTGTGGTTATGGGGATACTGGGAGTCCCAGCGTTGGCAGGTGAGTCCAGTGGGCGTCACGTCCACGATCCCCCTATAACCTTCTCCTCTGCCCTTATAGCACTCGGGTGTTTCCACCAGGTTACTTTTGGGAGGTGTTTCTGTGAAAGAGCAAAACAAATCAAGGGGTGGGTTAGGTTGGTCAAGGTAGCATACAATATGTGTGACATAGTTATTCAGCCTTTTCCAACAACCCACGTAAGACTGTGTAAGCTTGGGTTGTTGGAAAAGGCTGAAGAAAATAATGTAGTATATAGTATATATAATATATATAGTGTGTAGCAGTTATGAATCTAGGTCTTGGGGTATTGTAATTGGGGGATACTCGTTAAAAGAAATTTTAAGCTTGAGCCAACTGAGAAAACCTCACAATGGAAACAGTCAATTAAGATGATTGAAACTTACAAACACCAAACTATCCACACTAAATGACTACAGCGTACATAAATCTTGAACAGAACATCACACTAAACAACAGGTAGCCTTTAAATACACTCGTCTTGTTATAGACCACCCCCAAATTCCACATCAGGATAAAATTTTACATGTGGCCGTACCAACCTAAATAAGGAAATCCATCAAAGATAGTTTGGCTTGCTAGTTTATCCTGCGATTTGTACAAAAAAAAGGCAAAGAAGTGGTTAAAATTCAAACATGGGTGAAGTGTTGGATGGGGAGATGTGGAAAACAATGAGTGTGAACTGCAGAGAGAGGTGGAGGTAAGTGAACTTTGTAAGCGTGAGACAAATGAACTGTGGCACTACAATGAAACCTTGATGAACTAGATTGTAGATTTGTAAAAATAACACTCATGGCACACCACACAGTTTCCCATTCGCCTGTCGTTTGTAGATAGTTAATTATTATTTCTCCCAAGTCCCACTTTCCAGTTCTAATAATCGCACAGTGCAGGATTTTATCTCTCGACTGTCAGAACCAAATGGTTTAGACCGTTACAGACAATTTGGTCCGATCTGGAGTGACGGCCAAATCATTTGGCCCAAATATTCCAGTGTGTGTGCACCTTCAGGCCTTCCAGTGTTAACATGAGAGTTGCTAATACTTCCCTTTATCTGGTTCTAATCATATTGTTGTAGTACATGTACAAACAGTTATAAAGAATAATGAATTGGAAATGATTTAGCACTCAGGAAATATTCAGTGTGACAGTGCCTTTGACATGATGAATAGCTGAACAGCCTCAATGTTTTGGCCACCTGCTTTCCTCAGAGCAGCTCCCTCTACGGGTTTAAAAGACCTGCAGTATAATGAGGCTAATATGGCCAACATTGGAAAAACAAGGCAGGAAATCTTATCTGCTCTACTTTTCTTTACAGAAAAGCAGCTCATTACACACAAGCAACACAAGTTCATTAGCCTGAACATTGTGCCTGATTGTATCCAACAATGTGTAAAACTGCAGATCTTCAAGACTCTAAAACAGACGTTTTCTGCACATACAATACGTCTAAAAATAGATATGCACTAGTTGTGACAGTAAACAAAAGAGCAGGCCTTGACAAAAGAACACTTTGTCTCTCTGTCTCTTGCTCTCTCCTCTCTGCCTTGTTTTGATTAAGGCTAACTGGGTCGTAAACTTGGTCTGTTCCCAACAAACTCCCATATCAGAGAGAGGGAGAGAGAGAGAGAGAGAGAAAGAGTGAGAGACCAAGAAAGATGGAGAATGTGGAGGGTGGGAGATGGTTTTTAGAAGGGAAAAAAGCAGGGGGGAACAGTGAATCACTGGGTCCACATGGAGGAGTGCCATCTAGTAAACATGGTGCCAGGACTGCTGATGATTCTAGCAGGCAAACAGGCCAGTCACAGACCCAGGAGAAAGCAGCTGAGTCCAACAATAACACCACTGCTCTGTCTGTTTTATGTTCTCAAGGACCACAGTGGCTGTCTCAGTGACTTGTCACTGATTGCAGGCTCAACTGAGAGCATACAGTATCTGTTGGTATAGACACACATACAGCGTGAAGCCAGACATGACACATACACCTTGCTCTTACACATCAATCACACTGCTTGCGCTAAGTGTATAAGTTGTGATGAAAGTGATCTGCTTGTAGTGTGAATGACCCTTATGTAGTGTCTGGGTGTGTAACAGGAAGTTAATGTGGAGCAGTAACTGAGCCCTCTGCGGTTTGAACACTACACGTAAGAGCTGGCATAGAGCAATAAACAGCAGGCCAGTGGCACAGGAGAAAAATAAACATTCTGGCTATTAGAGAAGACATAACAGAGAGCCAAACCTAAGAGGGGAACTACTATGTGTGTGTGTGTGTGTGTATGTGTGTGTGTGTGTGTGTGTGTGTGTGTGTGTGTGTGTGTGTGTGTGTGTGTGTGTGTGTGTGTGTGCGTGTGTCTGTTTGTGTGTATTTAATACTAGCAGCGAATGAGATGGAGAACAGTGGTAAAATGAAAGGTACATGAAGTTGTAAATCCTGGTGCAGTCAATCACGCTTCAGAACACAAACAAACCCACACACAGACATGTATAGATCCCACTTAACATGCATGACAAATGCTAATGCATTCAACCACGCACAAACAAACATGCATGCATTCTCACCACAAACTTTGATGTTGCAGTACTCCCAGGGTTTGTTTGGGTCTGTGGTAAAGCACCAGGGCCTGTGGCGTCCATCTGGGTTCCTACAGTAGTTGTCATCCAGGCCCTTGTCAGGGTACCTAATACAAAACATGCAGTATAATACAACCTCAGTATATATAAGAGTGAAAAGCACAGCAGAAAATCACATTGCTGCACGGCCCACAGCACAACTCTCGGACTTGAAGTTGAGTAACATTGGCACAAAACGCTAATCGTCACATCATTCTTAAAGCCCAGCGGTACCTGAAAAGAGAATCATGTTTCCATTGTCCTACTGAATCCTTATGAGAAGATGTAGAGGCGGGGAGACAATTCACCGCATTGCATGCAACTGAAGCATTAATAACTGGAATGGTGCAAGGACTCCATCTGTGAATCTGTTCAGAGCTCAGGGGAGCGAGGAAGATAATAAGCTGCACCACTGCAGGTGTTCTACAGTAAGTCATCCCCAAGTCCCACATCTCCTCCAGGCCTGCAGCCTCCAGGCAGTGCAGTATCAGGCTGTGGGACCCTCTCATTACATTAGTGCTATGAGCAGTCTGGGACCTCGTTTACACAAACACTGGGATGATTAAGGATGTGTTAATGAGTCCCCACTAATCCAGACCACCTGCCAACCAACTAGCTGGAACACTCTCTTGACACAGACGCACACCGCTGGCATGCACACACACACACCTAAACAAAGAGCATGCAAGGAATATTAATTCAGACTAAAATATATGGCCTCTTTAAAATAGGTATAAGCTTATCTCATGGCTGGAGTCTGCTTCATAATCTGCTGAGAGCTTAAAGGAATTTGGGCCAATTAAGTCAGAGAGAAGAGTTTTCCCAGCATAGCGCTGCTAAAAACACAAAATTACACACTGAGCTCTTGTGACATTCCTTCAGGGAATGGCACACTGACTCCAGATCACTTCATCTCCAGAGTTAGTGCACCACGACCATATGAAATTATTATTTGAACCTATTATTACATAAAGTATTCTTATGCTTTTTGCTATTACATTATATATATATATCCACGGGCTTAAGTGTGATTGAGCATGCACAATTTAGTGTGATGAAGAGTGATGCAGATACATGTGTGTGTGTGTGTGTGTGTGTGTGTGTGTGTGTGTGTGTGTGTGTGTGTGTGTGTGTTACCTCTTGGGGTGGTACAGGTGTTTGTGTGGTTCATCCAGGTCCCAGCGCTGACATTCCTTTCCACTCTCTGTGTGGTCCATGGGTCCTCTGTAATCTTCCCCATTACAGTTCATACACTCCACTATGGAGAAATGGGACACACACACACACACACACACACACACACACACACACATCCACAAACACACAGAACAAACCGTTTAGAGAAACACTGACTGAAACTATCAGCAGGAAGGGTTTTGTTTTCACAAAGAGACACTTGGCACACAAAAATAAATCAGGATAATTTTTTAGTAGCATAGCCATGGGTTGACAAAGCAATAAACTCGAATAAATTGCACCATTCACAAAATTTTTATGTGATGATTTTGCCCCAAAATAGTTATGCAACATTTTGCAATAAACCCTTTCATAAATATTTAATAGATCTCCCTTAGGTTCAGACATTATATACACAGCACTTAAAGTATGGAAGCACATATTATAATGAAGGTGAAACTCTCTTTGATGTAGAGAAGACACCATTGGGTGCATGGTGAGTAGAACACCCTGACTAGTGTAAACAACAGAGAGCATGCAGATTAGAAACAGATGTTTATGAGTCCACTGCTGTCATTACAGAGCACATTTAATACCACTGGCTGCATGTGTATGTGTGCTTGCGCAAGCCACGTTTGCGTGTCTGTGTGTATGTTTCCTATTAGGACCGGCTAATTTCTGGACAAACCCTTCCAGTCATTTTCTTCTGAACGAATGCAGGCTTTCTGTCACAATAAAAAGTCATTATCTCTGTTATACAACTTGTGATAACCCAGTGGGACACCATATGTGAGCCGCAGAGCAAGAAGGATTCCCGCCCTGTCTTATCGAACCACAGCCTGGTTCCTCATTAACATGATCCAGTGTCATACATGCAGAGGAAACACCCCCTCTGACAGCATGAATCCCCAGGGATTAGATAACAGAGGTCATTATCATCCCTTTCTTCAGGGAGACATCAGTTTCTGACAGTAATATTGTGTGATATAACATAGAGGCTGAAACGCCGGTGGGAAAGTGCTTTTCTCTCATCACAACCGGATAAATATCAAAGTTTTGTTTATACAGACTTTCAACTGGAACTCAACGGGTTTCCTTCTATGTGCAGCACAGGGACAAAAAACACCTAACATTTTATGTATAGGAGACGACAGAGGGATTAATATCCTCTTGCATTCCAGCACCAGGCTCTTTAGGTCGAACCATTTACAAAACCTGAAACTGATGGAATGAGAGAGGACAGCATAAACTGAACCACACACCTGGAAACAGCTGCAGCTGGTCTCAGTAAATAAAGAAAACCTGTGCACCCACACACATACATACACACACACACACACACAGCTGTAGAGTGGAGCACAGCCAGCGATGCTTAGTCCAAGGTACTATGTGATTGCCTAATTTGCTGCAGCTCATTTCAGACTATCAAGCCTGAATTGGTGAGGCAATTTGCAATGTGGAATGGGCATTATCTTAAGATGAATGTCTGCTCGTATATATGCAGACATAGTTTGTGTGTGTGTGTGTGTGTGTGTGTGTGTGTGTCTGTGTTTATGTAGCCTACCCTGTGAACACTGTGGTATGCCACACTCCTGGTGTCTGAGGTGTGGCCTGGGGTCAGTGGTAAAACACCACGGGCCAACGGTGGAGTTGTCTGGGTTACGACAGTAGTTTTCTCTGAGGTCCTTCTTCCTGAACCTCTTAGACATGAATCTGTCAGAAACAGAGCTGCAGTTACACAAACAGACACACATGTACCAAGACCGGTTGCCAAATATTTCAGCTAGCATGCAGAGCAACCTCTTTTTGAAAAACACCCAAGGCCACGGTTTCTGCTGTCCTTTTTTAATCTCTGACAGAATGACAAATCCTGCTGCTTAACTCTGATGGCTGAAACATGCCAGTAAACATGACCACTGGAAATTAACAAGTGCAAAATTAATTGATGCTAATGCTGAAGGATCAAGCTGTTGGTGACATGATGTTATTAATGGGAGAAAACACATTAATATGGGGGGAAAATGTTTGGTTTTCCATGAAGCAGGTTCTGAATGTAGCGTAAACACATTGACAAATGACTCACATCTTCTACATCAGGCAAGCACATGGCTGTGGTCACCAGTTGTGATGATGGGCATAGTGTAATCTTTGAGTCAAGCTGTGTTTTTCCACATGATGATGAAAAGATGAGGTTCTGAAGTAGTTTTTTCAGTGGAGTGGGTAATGACGGGGACAGAAATGAGATGGCCATTGCAGGGCAATCACTAAAGAGGAGAAACCTTTTACTGATAAAAATGCAATTTGTTCTTGTGTGTGTGTGTGTGTGTGTGTGTGTGTGTGTGTGTGTGTGTGTGTGTGTGTGTGTGTGTGTGTGTGAGAGAGTTTCCCATGCCTGTAAGCTGACTGATAAAACAAAGCGCCTGGGTTTAATTACCTGATCTATAGACATTAACAGTAGTCTGATAAAGCAGGTTCACTGGAGGAACAAACGTACACTGCCCTCTTTTATTCATCTGCAGTGACAACTCACTACAAAGCCTTTCAAAGCCATTTAATACCTCTGAGGAGAGGGGGATGCAGACGAAGGGAGATAGCATGAGATTCAAAGATAATAAAGGTCTAAGATGAGGTGTGTGTGTTGTGTTTAAGGTTCTCTAATAGTTATAAATATCTGCCACAAGATAAACTTTGTCCTTATTTTACTGCTATTTTCTCCTGAGTGTTGTTTTTCCAAGATTGTCCTCCCTTGACACAAAATATTGTACTACAAACATGGCCACAGTAGAACAGTGTAAAGATGCAAGGAATAGGAAAGGAATACCTTTGAATCAGTTTAATTAAATGTCATGTAATATGTTTTCTTTTTATTAATGGAGTCATTTGTGTCAGATTGTCATCTTTCAGAAACCATAATGGGACTTTTTTCCACTCAAGATAAACTAGTAGTAGTAGTAGGCTGAATATAAAATCCTTTCTTACTTACCAGGTAGTTTTTCAAGAAAAGTTTTACTTTCACTTTCATAATCCTGTAGAAAACATTGCTTTACTTGCATCTTATGTTTTCAGACTCCACTCAGTTGGTTCTTTTTGGTATTCGGAGCTACACTGTATCAGGAAGTCTGCCCATCGAAAAATTAGCTTTATCTGGGAATTTAGCTGGTGAATGTACCTAGAGTTTAACCAAAGGCTGCATATTAGATATGATACTAATCCCGGTAAAACACACTAACACATGTGTGCGCACACACATGCCTTGATAAACAGTAGAGCCGTAGCAGGAAATGATCTGTGACTGTGTAAAGCCTTACAATGATGTCAGTTCTGATGAATGACTGCTCCCAGGAGCCTAATCAACCCCTAATATATCATACTCATATACACATAAAAACACATACTGCCTAGCCTCCAGCTACTAGCTAATTGCATCACTAACTGGCCAACACTAACAGTAAGAGGCAGCTTTAACACTATTTTGTTTGACGTTGGTGGGGAGTCTTACTTGTGTTCATGAGGAATGGGAGAGGCCCAGGCCTGGCACAGGATCCCGCTCACTGTCACCGACCTCCGCCCCCTGTAGCTCTGACCTGTACCCACAATGCACTCTCTCACGTAGTCTGAAAGAGAGGCAGAAAGAGCGAGGATGAGAGGAGATACAGACCGAGAGACAAAATGACAGTACAAGAGCGTGAGTGGGCGTGATGAGCCAACAACCTGAGAGCATTTGTTTTGTACACAGAGCCAGCGTGGATGATGAAGAAAACAGACAGAAGATGTTCAGCTATAACACTGAGCTTAACAAGGACTTGACGGTGCCAAAAGCCAAATCTGTTTTCCTAATCTTCTGCAAAACATTTGGATCAAGTGAAATAGGCTACACAGCCTGTGTGTTCAGTGTTGTGGTCAGTCCAGAGTCAAGTGGGGCGGGGGTTTCCATCGTTTACACAAACACTGCTTAATGACAGAAAATGAACCATAATGTGCCGCGACACCATAAACATGACAATGGTCCTTGCCCTTCCTCGGCTTCCTCTTGAGGACTGCCATCAGTACAAAGCTAAATCACTCTGGAGAAAAATTTTTATTTCTAGTTATAAAATAGCAACAAAGAGTATACTGTATATACTGAGGCAGTGTTGCTGATTAGAAGTGAGACTCTGTAAAGAAGTTTTTTTCTGTTGGAAAGATATGGCGATAGGGGGAGACACTGCTTTGGTATCAGCTGGTAGAGAGACAAGGTGGAAGAGTAGAGGTCACCTTTCTTTTGATAGAGTTGGTAGTTGAAGTCCTGTTGGCTCTGAGCTCCTGGTGAGTTCCTGTCGAATGACAGCCACTGGCATTTCCTGTTTTTATGATCATAGAGGAACGCTCTGGGGAATATGGAGGAAAGGAAAGGAGGCAGAGAGAAAGAGGATGAGGGAAATAGTTGGTTTTCTTTAAATTCTTGGAGCAAAAAGCAACAGAGGGCAATTAAAACAACTGCTACATAAGTATGCAAAGCACTTAGGAGGCCCACCAGACCAGACGGACAGCACTGGATTGTACCTTTGAAAAGCATAATTAAGGAACTTGAGGAACCACCATGTTGCTCTCGACAGCCATTCATTTTGTAGGAGAGTTACCTTACCATGAAGCTGGAAGGGTAACGCCATGAGACACACGAGATATACCTGCAGGTGAAGGGGAGCCTTTTGTTGCGGCTGCAGGATCTGGCGCACTTGACCATGTTCAGCTTCCTGCTTTTGGTCAGATGGGAGGAATCAGGAGACACGACAACCAGTCGAACACCATCAGTCTTCTGATAGTCCTGGAGTGCATTTCGTCTGCCCTCTGGTTCACAGTTACATAACATGGTTATTCAGCATTGTTTATTTTACATTCTATATGCACATTTAGCTGACACTTATCTACACGTAGTGTAAATTAGAGATATGCACTGCTCAAGGCCAAGTCAGGCAGGAGACAAGCTGTTGTTTGCATCAAACCAGAGACATGGTGGACAATGTGACAGTCTAATAACTTGACTACATAACTCTACCACTAAGCTTATGGCTCTGATGGGCATAATGCATGCAAGCCTCCTCATTGCAACAGGCAAGTATGTTTACTGTACGGTTAGTTTTATTTTCTTATTTATTCATCATTGAAAATGCACACATGCATACTAGCAAACCTTACTCTGTGGCCTGGGAGGCACAGTGGATGATCTGCTAATGAGCCCAGCCAGACTGAGAACACCCGGCAACAGCATTACAATGTGTGAATTAGTCTGCTTCAACAGTTATTAATCTACAGGACCTAATAGGATGCACAGTCATTTATCACTGCCCTCAGTGAAACCAAGGCTCTCTCTCTCTCTCTCTCTCTCTCTCTCTCTCTCTCTCTCTCTCACACACACACACACACACACACACACACACACACACACACACAGTGTCAGTATGTTTCCTCGGTTGCTGTCAGGTTCTCTACTTCTCATGAGCCAGTTAAGACATTTACATTCAGAGAGAAAACTCACCTCCTCTTTTCTCCCCCTCCTACCTATTTCAACTTTCTACCTATTTGCACTTCAGTCTACAAGAGCTTCCATCAACACAGGAATCATGCGGTGTTTGTGTTGGATAGTTGCATGAAAAGCTGTCGATTCTTGGACTTATCACCAGATATCAGTGGCCGGTGTTTCAGAGTCAGTAGATCTGGGTGTTTGGGGGACGTGGGTGAGCAACCTGAGGATCGCAGAGGACCCGGCCCCATCATGTTTGTCCAATCCCCAACTTGACTTCACCGGCTCGGCAGTTTCTCTGCCTGAGTGCCGAAGAGCAATGAGCCGCGAAATCGCACTCTGTCAGGACTCCTGGATGACTGATTCACTAATTTGATTTTAATATGGGTCATTTTGTGGGACAGTGAGTTTTATCTAGTCGCTTTATCATATGATTGATTTATCTCGTGGTCTGATCACCTCTGTCTTAATGCGTCCCTATGCGGTGAAACGCGCGCGGTTGCAAGAGTTGAGATAAAAAAAATAAAAAAAAAAACGTGCTGGATCATCAGAATAATGGCAACAGCATCATTTTCATCTCTGTCCAAAAGCTGATTATGTTTTCCAGGAACGACCAGTTTGAGAAATGTTTTCGCAAAGTAAGAAGCACTGACTCTGCATTACCCTTATAGAAATAGATGCGAAAATAACTAAGAATTTCCCAAAAGGAAACATCCCAGTTAAAAAACAAACAAACAAAGAAACAGTAGCCCCACACATTGTAAAGTGTTAATAGGCTACTGCACTGCAGAGGTGTTATGTGAATATTACAACCGATAATAATAAAGTTGTATTAATGAAGCCAGTGTTTGAGAGGCTGTGGAGCGCAGACCAGTGCGTTCAAACAAGCAGCTCCAGCCCAGTGGCAGACGACAGGCAGCTATTCGAGCAGTTGTAAATAGTTTTCTCACAAAAACTTACCAGAACAAGAAACGAGGAAGAGTCCGAAAATGAGCTTGTAAATCCACATCGCCGCGTCACACAACAACAACAACAGTTTCGGGGGGGAGAACAAATTGGAAATGCTGCTTTACTGTTGCTGTCGGACCGCAACCAGGAGATGTTGCCTCCACCACTGCACAGATGATGCGTCTCCTCTCTAAGTACTTCCTCGCCTCCCTCCCTCTCCCCCCCTCCCTCTCTGAGTGTGTGTATGACTTTATCTCTCCCTTTCTTTTATCTCTTTCTCTTTCTGTCTGTATCACCCCCTCTCTTTGTGTTATTTAATGGCCTGAAAATATTATTGACAAAGTTTCAGTGAAAATGTCTTAATTCTTGTTTGTGTATTCAGACCCCATAACCAACCCCCTATTATGAGTACATGTTCGTGAAAATTGTGGTTCTTTCTTTCTGTCTTTCTTTCTTTCTTTCTTTCTTTCTTTTTTGCATCTTCATTTTGTCCCCCTGCCTCAATTTCTTCCCTTTTACATTGGCTAAAACAAAACCTTAGAAAAAGTACTTTTCAAAAACAAAGCAACTTATAAACCTTTGTCGACATTTAGGACTATTATCATAGCAGTAGAAGAAAAAGATTGCTTGTAGGAGATGCTCAAGCTGAGATTCAATGTATAACTATGGGGACAGCATCCACACCCTGTGCAACACTTATTCTGTTCGAGAACCAACAGGAAAGCTTTTAGCTATTACATTTACAAATCTCACAAAACACAATGAGGATGCCGCATATAGGCCTACACTTATGATTACGTCTGACTGAGCTATACATACTGCATATGTCCCTGCGGGGAAATTAGATTATTTATTCACCAGATTCTGTGTCCACCCCTCTCTGTCACACAGCAGCATCCCACTCAATCCTGTATTATCTTTTTTTCAATTTTTTCATTTTTTTTTTTAATTTCTAAGATCACCAAGCAGCACACTGTGCAAAATGAAACAGCTATCAGCAGGCACTTGTCAGCGAGGAGCGTGTGGGCTTGTTTGTGCTACTTTCCTTCTTCCCTTCCTGTGTTAGATAAGGAGTGAAGTTACTGGTCGGGAGGGAGGAGGAAAAAGACAAGACATCCCTATCCATCTCCTGAGTGTCATCTCTATTTCCAGCGATGACAGCATGAGATAGGAGACGTGACACGTAGCTGGCCTTAGCATTTTGTCTGATGCGGCAGTCACACAGCAGCACTCCTGTCCTCCAGTGACTGTGCGAGTGGGTGCACAGTAAACAGGAATCACAATAGTTATCAGAGTGCAGATTGAGAGTCACTGCATCGTGGGGATTCCCAGTATTTTCTTTAAATTCACACCATGTGCGCAAAACAAAACACAGGGACAGATGGATAAATATGTAGGAGGCAGAGTCCACCTCTATCTTCTCTCTGGTTCAGTGAGTAATGCCCCTGCGGCTTCCTGAGAAGACCACAGAGTCATTCGCAATTATAAACAATCGGCCATGAGTCAGATACTTTCACTGGAGCAGAGCGCAAATCTCTGCGTCTCTCTTTTCTCTCTCTCTTTCTCTACCTTCCCTCATCTGCATACACACGCAACAAAGCCACATACACTGTCCCTTACAGGAAAACATGCATTCAGAGCCCCCCCCCCTCCAAAAATACACATACACTCGCATTCGCAAACACGCATGCTCACACTTAATGAGCAGCAGATGACTGGATAACCTTCACCACCAGTTTGAGCTCGCAACAAAAAGCCCTCATCACCACAATCTCATTACTGACTCTCCCAGCAAGAATCCAGTGGGTGTTTTCACTGCGTCTGAGAGCCACGGCTTCTGCTATAAGATGGAAATTAGAGAAACCCAGTAGCCCACTGCCTCGCTCACATGAGTGCCGTCACCATTCAAGACTCCTCACATCTGTGCTCGGTTATTGCCAGAAACTTCATATCTTCATGCAGCTGGTAATGGAGGCAGGAAGTTCAGTGGGAGATGGAGATGATATGGAGAATGAATAAGTTGATACACAGAGAGTGTAGATGAAGAGCAAATTGAGAAAAATGGATTGACTGTAAGCAGGGAAGTACAATACAGAGCAGTGTGGTGAGGGCTGCTCTGTCTGAGTGCATATTTGTGGAGTGTGCGGAGTATTAATAGACTTCCTGCAGATTTGTTTGGAAGTTGCAATGTGTGCATTGTGTGTGAGTCATGTGTTGTATGCTATTACTTCCCCGTGTGTGTGTGTGTGTGTGTGTGTGTGTGTGTGTGTGTGTGTGTGTGTGTGTGTGGGTGTAATTGCGCGTGCATGTGTGCAAGTTTTCAGCTGCAGCAAATTAGCCGGACCTCATTGTGACCTCTAATCATTCCAGCAACTCTTCCAGACTTCATCCATATGACCTTATGTACAAGGGGATGGAGTGAAGTGGAAAATGGGAAGGAGGGATGACAGGAATAAGGGACAGACGGTGTGATAGTTTGAATGAGACAGGGTGAGATAAGAAAAGTGGAAAGGGACTCCGACTGAGGAAGCGTGGGAGCACAGAGCAGAGGGGGCTCAGGTATTTCACTGTAATGAGGAAAGAGAGACATTTAGGACTGTGTGTGTGTGTGTGTGTGTGTGTGTGTGTTGTGTGTGTGTTTGTGTTGAGGTTAGTGATGACAGTGGTGTGGATAGACGCTGTAAACACAGATACTGTGTCAAGAGATCCTCCTTTAAACAAACACACACTTCCTGTTGTCAGTGCATGCGATTGTAGTCACTGCTCGTAATTGAGATCTGCTGACAGTAACGGGCAACACAAATAAACTACACATACGGACAGTCTGTCTGTACAAACAGTTCAAAAAATATGGCATCTCAGATAAAACGTTTTCATGGCAGCCCTGTGGTCTGCCTTCAAGTCAGTTTAATTTGATTTTTCAGATTGTGACAGTGAAAGGAAGCTGGAGAGTGGGCAGCAGGACGGAAACGCAAAAGTGGAGTTTCAACACATCAGTTCATTATCATGCACATTAGCAGACTGAGTCACCAACACGTCCCCAAAAATAGCTTTAAAGAGGACCCTAACAGATATCAACCACTCAATATGCCATTGATTTTTCTCTCAGATAATTCACTCCCTAACAGCGAACAACTGCTTTTGTCATTGCCACTGACATATTGAAACTTACTCTATCGATCAGAGAAAGTAGAGACTGATGACTCATCGCTGAAGTGCTGAATCATTTATAGATTTAACAAAGTTGTCATGTCTGCAGTCGTGTCTTGGACATTTCATGGGATTTCTGAGTAAAACTTGAATAATGAATATTCTGTGTCTGCACATTTTCGCCTCAGACAGCAACTTTTCAAATTGACAAACTTTAACAAAATGATTCTTATGTTGAGAGATATTGAGCCTTAAGCCACACAAACCACTTCAATTCAACAGAGCATGCCCACTTCAGTGCACAGTCGTCATTCAGCCTTTTGTCTGTCCCTCCTCCTGTGTTTATGGGTGTTGATGTGAACATTTGAGACAGAACCTTGGAACAATTCATGGACAAAATGGCCTGTTGAGTTTGTATATGCACACAAACCATAACTGTTTAAATGACACATCCTTTAGCATGCTACACATGAAGCATGTCGCGCAAACACATCAACATCCCACACGCACACTATTGTGCCGGCCCTTTGACGGTAGATGTCAGTCATTCAAAAGTGCACAACACTGAAACAAGCTGGAAAATACACACAAATAGGTCATGTTTACACACACAACCTATATTGTAAAGGAAGGACTATTTTCTGCTATTGTGTTGCTTTTCAGATACAAATGTTTATTTCTGAAACGACCTTCCAGATCACCGTGGTCTATTATAATACTTGTAGTTCCCTTTGGGACCTGTTAATTAGAGCTTGAAATTTAGAACTTTTCAAAATGAAATTTGGTGCTAGCCGCACATTATGAAATGAGCTCCACTCGATCATCCAGTGTAATCACTGAAGATATGCGATACAGAGTTTACACAGTTTTTAAAATTTCAGTTGACCAAAACCTGGAATTTGGCCTCAACTGAAACTCCAAGCATGTGTAACTACAAAAGAATAACTACTGCATGGTCGCAACATACAGCCAAGATAGGAAACCAAACACTGCCTGAGGACAAGGGGAAAGGTCTTAAAATAGTGCCTAAACCTGTGTTTCCTCATTTCTTACACATCTGCTAACAGTCAGCTTGTGTTGTCTGCTGCTCACTGCTAATTTACCCCCACATGACTCACGTAGAACTGGAGACACACAGGGGAGGGACGGTGGTCGGTAAAATTAAAGAACGCAGGGGGAAAAAAAGCTGCTCTGGGGCAGCAGGTACATTTCATCCCACATGTGTCTGTGTCAGACCTCATACGTGTAATTTACGTGTTGATGGTGAACATGGCGTAGGGCAGGCAGGACTGCATGCAGCCTGGGTCTTCAGAGCCCACCTGAGTGATTCGCCAGACACGCACACAGGTAACTTGAAGCATGAACACACACAGAAACGTGCATGGAAACATGCACACACACACACACACACACACACACACACACACACACACACACACACACACACACACACACACACACACACACACACACAAACCCGCTTTTGGAGACAGCTGCTAAAGTTTTACCACTCCACTCACCAAAGTGTCTCTAACCAGATGACCTTTTTTACTCCCTCTCTCTTTCTATTGACTTAACTTGTTTCGCTTTATAACTCTTTTCTTGGTGGTGTGTGTGTACAGTATGTGTGGGACATTGAAAACAAAACAAACAAAAATCAAAAATACAAACAGCTTGGTTTTCACTATTTCTATAAGAAATACTTATGAGTGTAAGTTTTGAATATTGACTTAATTAATGTTGACAAATGATTTATTAATACTTTATAAATCAGTGGCAAACCATAAGAGCAACATTTGAGTTGCCAGACTGTCACAAATCCCTTTAGCTGGTGTATATCCTCCTCCAGCGCAAACTCATTGGTTCATTATATAACTGCTTTGTGAACGTTAAAATTTGTGACCATTGACTGAACTTACTACTTACTACTATATACTTACTATACTACTATACTCACTTTTTGAGAAGCAATTAAGCTACAGAGCACAACACACAGTGTG